TTGTCTTTGCTTTTAGTGAAGTTAGAGAATTTATGGTGATAGCCAAGAAAGGGAGCTGCCAGGCATGAAAGTTAAAAGTAATGGGAAAGCAAAACAGTGTGGGATGATTATTCTGCACAATTTACTGCTTTTATACCGAGTGCATAAATACTCCACTTCAATTATATTAGACTTTATACATTGAAAAGCCCCACTCCACACACACAGTCTAGTCTCTAAACACTCTTCCCTATGACCTGTCTGCTTATACCAGTGTGTTTATTACCTGATTGTATAATGCCTTATGAAAGTCTACATCTCCTTTGTGGATGTTGTCGGTTAAGATATCTCTATGGAACTGTTGTGCCAATTTAGCAATTTCTGCAAGAATTGCCAGTTGTTCTTGCACAAATTTGGTCCGGAAAAGTCTCTGAGTTAAGAAGCGGCGTACACAGGCTTGGAGCAGTGTGATCCCTCTGATGAATATTGCATTCTGACTCTGAAATGAGATTCCTTTTATAGAAAAAAGTTAAAATAAATTCTACATAAGATTTTTTTACAGTACAATCACACACACACAAATCAAAATGTGCTTCAGACATACTAGGGGATGAAGGTAGATATTTGCAGCAGACTCTCTCTCTGGGACCATATCTAATCCACCTTCTTCAGACGACCCTCTTTGATGGCTGCCACTACTATGGCACCTTGTAGCAGAATGGTGAGGCACTGTCACAAGATGTGTTCTACTGGAATGTTGGGCAGCTGGTGTATGTTCTCTCACACTTACTTCTGAAGGACCCCAGTCGTTAATATGCTGTAGATTCATTTCTACTACCTCATCACTGAACATCTCAGGATGCTCTGCAAGAAGATTTGTGATACTTGTTGGTCGAGGACTTGGCCATGGACTGCCACTCACCACTCTAAAGAGACCTGGCTGTGTGACCAGCTGGGAGGAGTTTGACTGTAGTACAGGTTCTAACACAGTTGGGCGACAGGATCTTGGTCTTGATCCATGTCCTTCGTCGTCTGCAGTAAAAAGTCTGTAATACTGCATGCCATCTCCATAACTCACACAGTTACCATTGACATAACTGACTTGATCTAGACCTTCCACAGGTATATTGTTATTTTTTGCATGCAAGGATAGATCAGTTTCGTTAGCTTGGGCATGTTTTGGGCTAGAACCAGAATAAGACACATTGTGAGGACTGCTGCTCAGGTGGGAGGAAGCTTCTCCAGTCATTACTACATTTCCTAATGAATCTGCAGCTTTCTTAGTTTCTTCATTCACAAAATAGGAAGGCATGATATTGGTGTGGTTAGATGGTCTAGGTATTTGTTCAGCACCACTGATCTTTTCACTGTATGTTCTAGAAGGTAAATCAACTGAAGCACAAGAACTAGATACGGTATTACAAGTGGAGGCACAGGGATGCATTATGGAAAAATTATCAGTTTTACTGGTCATCTCTTCCACTGGTTTGGACGAAATTAAATATCTGCTTTGTTCTTCTTTTGTCCCTCTCCCTTCACCTTTAACGTTGCTATTATCATTTTTGTTATACAAACCAACTTCTACATGTGACCTTCCAGGACTGCTTCCTCTTATACCTCTGTCCTTGCTCATTTTAAAGTTATCAGCATCACTAATGGAGAAGTTTCCTTCTGATCTTTGATGCAAATCGTCTTCAGGTCTTCCCTCAATACTTCCACACGTGATGGTACTTGCAGACAGGAAAGCCTGCAACTGTTTCGGAGAAACACGTTGAAGCTGTTGTATAAACTGCCGTATCTCTTCTTCCTGGCGCCTTCGCAATGCCTCTAGTTCCTGCCTTTGCTTGGCTCGTAAGAGATTCAGTACCTGATTCATGGCATCCTCTGACACTTTCTCAGGCACTAAGTCCCTCATGCTATTGCTGGCCTCCAGTGCTAACTCCATTTCATTATTTGGCTTCTCTAGACTCTTAGCTACAATTTCCACAACCTCATCTTCATTTTTAGGTTCAGTTTTGCTTCCAGTCCAATTACCTTCTCTATACCTACTATCCTTACTTTCAGTCACCTGCACAACAAGGCACTCTTCTTCAGAATCATAGATTTCAACATGAGGTATGCTTTCCACCACATCAATTTTCAATGGTACCTGACAACTAACACTTGGTTCCACTGCATCTTTTTTCTCCCCTTGTATTACAACTTGTTCAGGCAGATTAGTGGTGGACTCTGTTTGCAACACAGTGCCATCTTTGATGTCAGACTTTCCCAAAGTTTCACTTCCCTTTGCTTTCATATTATCCTTATTCTTTTCAACATCATGTGTCATGTCCACATTCTTTGCTAAGGGTTCACAATAACCTGAAGGTACATCAGTGCTGTCTTTCTTCTGTTTATCTGTCCCATTTTCACTTATACCTGTTACTTGTCCTTCAATTCTGCCATGAACAATCTCCAATCTTTCAAATTCAGCAAGAGCCATTGCTTCCTCTGAAACTTTTTCTTTAGAAGGTACAATATT